AAAAAAAAAAAATGATGCATGTATCATATTCTCTTGTTTGCAAAATAATAAGCTACATTTTCTTTCAGAATCCTGAAGAACAATTTTCCCTTTCTCTGGAAATGTCAGAAGATGAACAAGTGGATGATGACCCACAAGCTGAGGAAGAAGAAACTACAGAAACTGTAGTAATCCACAGAAAACCATCTTCTAAAACTAAGCAGTGCTCAAAAAAAAGCAACTCTCAACAATATAACATCACAGTTAAAATGTCTTCAAACACTGCAGATCAACGTGTCTATGACAAGAGGAACTATTGTCTTTACTGTAAGAATCCTTATGCCAAACTAACAAGACATCTGAAGCAGAAGCATTCAGACAAATCTGATGTGGCTAAGGCGCTTGCGCACAAGCAAGGCTCAACGATGCACTCTTTGCTGTTGACCAAAGTAAAAAACCTGGGAAACTACCACCACAACTGCTCTGTTCTGTCTTCTGGAAAGGGACAAATCATACCTAAAAGGCAAGCAACCCGTCAATCAGTTGCAACCGACTACGTACCTTGCAAGTTTTGCTTTGGTATGTATGTCAAGAAAGATCTCCCGAGACATCATAAGCGTTGCAAGCTGAAGTTGAAAGAAGGATGGTGAACGCCGTTCTTTATCTGTTCCATTTGATTGACTTGTGACATTTGATTATTTTCACCAAATCTCATTATTTCTTAAGGTCGTAACACTGAGGGGTTTTGGTTGAGTCCTGAAACATGTTAACGGACCTTAGTGGCGCACAGAGGGGAAAATGTGTGAACAACAGGGTTATTTTATTAAATTGTTTTAAAAATGTGTCTGTTTTGATAATTTTTCTTCTTATTCGCTCACCCTGGAGTGTGTATGTTGCTCCATCCTATCTCAGTGGGGACTTGTGTCGTTCTGCACCAGCCAACAGTGGACCCCTGTTGTTCTATACAAACCAAGAGGGGAGCTTTATTTTTCCTGTAATGGCTTTGACATGGGTTGGAACTAAAACAATGTACACAAATTTAAGAATTTTGTAAGATCAGAACCATAAGAAGTTTTTGCATTTCAGTCTCTGGTGTGAAACTATGCAACAGTTTTGACTGTGGAATTAAAACAATGTCCAAACTTTAAACAATTCAAAGTTCTTTTTTTAATAATAAAATAGTTTTCAGTAAATATGAGAAACTGTCTAGCTATTATTATACTATAATATTATTAGAGCTATTGTATCAATAAGTACTGCATTAATCAAGAATTAGGAAGTAAAATGAAGGTGTACTTAAAAAGTACATATAAAAAAAGATATTTTGTGATGGGCCTTGATATGTTTATTATTCCCTCTCCTTTGAACGTTTTTGTTATTGCATTGTAATTTTATTGTAACTTGGCACGTTTAATAGAGTAAAATCAATTATATTACTGAGCAAGCTGCACCTATGTGGGGTAAGAGAAAGGCATATGATTGGTTTAAAAGTTTACTTTTTGGTAGACTTGTAGATATTAATCACCAAAAATTGGGGACATCAAACATGGAGTTCCCCAGGATTCTCTGCAGATGTAGTTACTTTTACCAGCAGATCTGAGTGGTTTGGTAGAATCTGCAAAGTGAGGGAGGAGTTTTGCAACATAAGTCATCATCCCCAAAAAACGGCGAATGTCTGCAATGTTCTGTGGGAAAGGCATGTCCATAATGGCTCTGATTTTCTCTGGGTCTGGTTCAATGCATTCTGCACTGACTTTATGTCCTATAAACAGAACTTCTGTCTGTGCAAAGGTGCATGTATCATTTAGTGTTAGCCCTGCCTCTTGCAGCAGCGTAAGGACAGCTGTGAGTCGCTCATCATGCTCTGCTTAATTCTTTCCCAATACGAGGACATCATCTGCATGGCATATAACACATTAAAGCTGCATCTTGGGCCCGAGTTTATCCCAAAGCATAGCACATTGAAAAGGTCAAAGGGAGTAACAAATGTTGTTAGTTCCCTACTTTCTTATGCTAATCCAATTTTATGAAAATTTTCAGCCATTCAGCTGTGCTAATGGCTGATCTACAGAGGGCAAGATATATCTTTCTCTGCACACACTTTCACTGAGCTTGGTGAGGTCAACACATGGTCTAACTTTGCCATTGGGTTCTCAGTAGGGCTCCCCAACCTGGAGATGACCCCCATTTCCTCCTTTCTTTTTAGTTCCTCCTTGACTTTTTCAGTTAAGGGTATTGGCACACGACAGGGGTTGTAAGGTGAAAGGGGACAGCATCTTCTCTCAGGTGGATACGATAGTCACCTTCCAGTCTCCCTAATCCTGTAAACACCTTGGGGAATTTGTTTTTGAATGTTTTCTCTGGGTTCCCTATTCTCCAGTGTTTCGAGGCATTCCCTCACACTAAGTATGCTTGTAGCAACAGTAGAGAGGAAAAACTCCCTTTTAACAGGAAGGAACCTACAGCAGAACCAGGCTCAGTGTGAGCGGCCATCTGCCGAGGCCGACTGGGGTTCAAGGAGACAGAAGCAGATGTGGTGTACCAGGTGTTGCAAGAAGCAAACCATTGATTGGTGGGTGGGACAGGCCTCTGCAAGGTGCATGCATCTTTGTTTACCCTACATGTCAGCTGCCTAAGTTGCTGGTGTGCTTGATCCGCTCATCTGAAATGATAAGCGCCATTTTGCCATCTGTGGCTGGGATTGTGGTTGGGCTCTGGTGCTCTACCTGTCGTGCGTTTCTGCAGCATTTCTCTGCTGGTGTAGGCGGCTGCAGCTGGAGGTTTTTGTGGCGTGCAGCTTCCATCTAACCCTCACCTGCTGGTCCATTTTCTCCCTGGTTAGGCTGTGTTTCCACTCCTGGGTAAGCTACCTCATTGCTGCTACATGTTTATCGAATGTGAACAGAGTTGTTTCGGCTTGTTAGATCAGAAGCGTTGGTGTGTTGACTTCTGTATGTTGTGTTCAATGGTTGCATGTAATTTAGTGAGTTGACCCGGCTCTGATGTTCCCACAGCATGCCGATCAGAGCCGAGGCAATTTTAACGGTTCGTTTGCCGAGTTGTATGGTGGTAGACACGAGTCAGTGAGCTGTTCCCACTGCCACTAAATGCCGCTTGTTGCAGGGTATAAACAGTTTTTTCCAGCCAGTGGGAAAGGGGTACATGAGAAGTTCAAAGCCTGTGATTTCCAGTTACACTGTCTTAACCCGCTTTAAACTTCTCTCTGCTGTAATCATCCGGCTTAGTCCACTAGATTTAAACTTGGGTTGTATTAAACGGAGGTGGACAGCTGAATGCAAAGACATGCCACACTTTTGAGGTATTTACTTGAAAACACTTAGGGGATGAGTTACCAGTTAGTGTTTTCTCTGCCTATTAATATCCAATAAATATATTATTAAATTTCTACTTGTCAAATAATCTAAAAAGAAAAAAGAATTTG